GATTAACTGGCTATCTCATTATACTTATCTGAAGTTGCCTGTTGGCGTTTTCTTCTTTTTATATATCAGTATCAATTGGATATAAATAACTGTTTGAGCTGCTTAATAATAGCTTTACACAGCTACTTAGGAACCAAAAATAATATGTGCATTATGTCTTCATCAGTGATTTTTCTCTCTCAGTAGCCTTCCTATCTTTGTAATAATTCCATCTGAATAATCTCCAGTCATCTCAGATCTGAGATCCGCCTTTTCAATTGGAATTTGATACACAAAAATGAGTTTTGGTTTTACCTTAACACACTTTTCACAAGCCTGGTGCATTCCAGTCCATACTGACGGGGTATGGAGAATTTTCCCTCCAACCATATGCATGAATATCTCTTCCCTTCACTGCATAGCTTTGAGGTTGTCTACACTGACACAGATAATTGTACTCACTTCACCCTTGCCCTTTATCCAGCAGTTTTATGGAAAATCCAGAAAATCCTTTTGGCAGGTTACTGACCCTTTGGGACAGCCTCACATAATTGTGGAGTGAGGATGGGGAGGGAGTTGTAGGCTGAAACTGAATCCTGGGATTTGTAGTTTGGTGAAGCACCAACATTCTTTGGCAGAGAAAGTTAAAGATCTTGTAAAACTACAACTCTGAATATTCCATTGTACTGATCAGTCGTCGTTAAAGTGGTAAAAATCTGCAATAATTCTATAGTCTAGATGCATCCAAATACCGATCTAGATCGTTTTCCAACTCTGATCATCCAGGTATTTTGGACATCAGGTCCAAGAATCTAGAGTTGTGCGTGGAACCGTTTTCCTTCGTTACATCCATTCTTTCGTTACTTTTGTAACCTTCGAGAGCATGTAATGAGAAGCCCCCTCCAAATACAAAAATCAGCTTGACACGAAAGCAAGCAGGAGCTGATCATGTGGTGTTCCATGCCTCCTTGCCTTGGAAAGATAGTGTGTGTGGCATACAGGTTCAGAAAGTTTGCCTGCTTGCCTGCAGCCAAGATCAAAAGAGGCTGACAAGGACAACCAGTAGAGACACCAAAGCTTCCCAACCTTTGGTCCTCCAGGTGTTTTGGACTTCATCTTCCACAGTTGCTAACAGCTGGTAAATTGACTGGGATTTCTGGGGGTTGAATTGCAAAACAACAGGAGGACCAAAGGGTGGGAACCACTGCGCTAAAGCAATCCAATGTGAGTTCCATATTATTTGGGTTTCAGAGTGCAGTGCCAATTTTCAGATTAACAATTATGTACTAACATTCTGTGTTTGCCTCAACAGACACTCATACCACTGTTTCAGCTTCAGTCCAGCCATTTCACTCGGATCCTTTTGACCATAGCAGGCGGCCATGATTTACATCATTCATCCAAGGAGGAAACTCCATATACTAAGTTTGTTTGTTCACCGATGGCCAGAAATGGCATGGCTAAAGGAGTTGGAGGCAGCGAGGAACAGGCTGTGCCCACAACATCCTGAACTTCCTGGTACATGATGGATATGGAGCTATTTGGGAGTGAAACCAGTTTGCACCATGTACATGCTGATCAACAAAGATTTGAGATGGTACTGTTCTTGGTTTTACTGTGACTTGCCTAGCCTTGGCTCAGTTACAAATTCTTGAGAAGCTTGGAAGAGATTACCTTTTCACTCCACAAATTTAATACACGACAGGAAAGACTGAATGGCTCTCAAGGTCTCCTCCAAATTCATGTTTCTATGACCATGGGATTACAAATCCCATAATCACTTACCATGCTGGCTGGAGTCCAAAAAAAAGTGAACTTTTCTAAGCTCTGTCACTTTGTGGAAGAAGGGCAGCTGGCTTCAGAATTAGGACACTGGGCAGAATCCGGTATGGAAGTTAAATCTTCTAAATGGATTTACATATACAAGAAGTAAAATTGGGCAGTTCTGTAACATCTGTTACATTAACATGAGCAGAGCTGGCAAGGTGACCAATGTGCAACTGGACTGATGAACAATAGAAGCAATGCCCATTGGGACTTGGTGTGCATTGGACACCAATGTGCATAGGTCCTGTTGTGCATCAAGTATCAGTGCACATTGGGCATGCCTTTTTGCAATTTACTATCACCTTTGCTACTTAGCTAAGTATATGTAAAGTTAAGTAAAAGTTGATATAGGATGCCGGTGACTGTTGCCATAGTGGTTCTGTGCATCTTCCTACTGTGTATTATCACCATGTTGGCTTAGGGCAGGATGGTAATGTAATCTATCCAAAATTGTAATCTATCCAAAATTGTAATCTGTCCAAAATCGGAGTTAATGCATTTATTCCTCCGACTTTCTTCCACTCCAAAATGATTTCTATAGGCTTTCTTCCTGGCTTTAACCATGGTATAAGAGAACTGGCGAAAGACCAATATAAATTTAGGTTTTCTGGTAGATGTGCAGTTGTTAGGATTGCTTGAGTTAAAATGGTGACAAGGCAACAGGGTGTGAAGATCGCTCAAGCATGCAGTGGTTGTATAGGTTTAGTGTCCCTTAGCTGAAATACTTGAAGCCAGAGTGTTTTGGATTTGGGAGGGGTGTCTTTCCTTCAGGTTATGGTTTGGCAGTCCAGCACTCAAAATACATGTCATCATTTCTTTGCATGTCTGATCAATATTTGTAACTTCTTAGCTTCTGTTTCATGATCCCACAATTGGGGAGATGAATGAAAATTTCGTGAGTAGATCAATAGGTACCGCTCTGGCGGGAAAATAACAATGCTCCATGCGTTCATGCCAGCCACATGACCTTGGAGGTGTCTACAGACAATGGCGGCTCTTTGGCTTAGAAATGGAGATGAGCACCAACCCTCAGAGTCAGACACAACTGGACTTAATGCCAGGAGAAAACCTTTACCTACCTTATGAAAATTTCATGGAGGGTAGAATCCGTATTTAGGAAGCAATATTGTTCTTGTGTGCTTTCAAGTTCTTTTTGACTTATGGTGACCCTATGGCAAACATATCATGGAGGTTTCTTGCAAGATTGGTCCAAAGAAATTGGCTTTGCTTTCCTTTGAGGTGCAGAGGGAAATTTGCTCAAAGTTACTCAGTGAGTTCCCATAGCTGTGGATCTGAACTCTGCTCTTTACAGGGTACATGACTCATCACCCTCATTTTGTCGTCCCCCCCCCCCTCCCAATAGGCGCTCCATGCAGTCATGCCGGCCACATGACCTTGGAGGTGTCTACGGACAACGCTGGCTCTTCGGCTTAGAAATGGAGATGAGCACCACACCCCAGAGTCAGACATGACTGGACTTAATGTCAGGGGCTACCTTTACCTTTTTAGTAGTTACACCCTTGCAAAGCTCTGTTAAGTGAAATTCTAACATGTCACTACCTTCATTCTCAAAATCCACTTTCCCACTGCTGTAACACTGCAATTTACTTAACACTTGCTATTAATTTTGCTCCTGTAGCTGGATTCACACCACTGAAGGATGAAGTAGAGGCTGTGCATCTGGTTACTGGAACAGAGCCATGGGGAACCTGCGACAGCTAAAAAGGTGATGCAAGAGGAGATGCTCCATTCATCTGCCTGATGGGAACTTCAGACTTGTATTGTCGAAGGCTTTCATGGCCGGAATCACTGGGTTGTTGTAGGTTTTTTCGGGCTATATGGCCATGGTCTAGAGGCATTCTCTCCTAGGAGAGAATGCCTCTAGACCATGGCCATATAGCCCGAAAAAACCTACAACAACCCAACTTCAGACTTCTTGATCCAGGATTCAGAACAATTAAAGCTACAGCAGCCACATCCCATATTGAGCCCAATGAAAGAGCTTTCCACCCCAGTAAGGAACTATATTTTCATAGTGAGAAACAGCAGCAAGTCAGAATGTCCAGAATTATAAACTGCAGCAGAACTGAATTTCCTGTTATTTTTCCAAGCAAAAATGCCAGCATAGAGATAAGAAAGTCAAAGATCTCACTTTGAGACAGGCAAATAAGCCTGGAAGCTGAGTTAAAACACTGACTCATTGTTAGCTTGTAGTGCTTACTCAACCTTTACGGCTCTCCCCCACAATCACAGGGTGGGTGTGACACTAGGCAGCCAGTCCCTCTGGCGAGAAGATATGATGCAATATATTTATGGTAATTGAAGTATTTGGTTTTTTTCTTTCACTGGCTTACTGAGAATTCACAAAGAAACCTGTGAATAGATAGAAGTATTCTAGAAGTGCCAATGCCTTAAATCAAGAAATAGTTTTCTAAGATCTACAGAGACACTCGCTGGAACACCTCAGCAAGCGAGAGTCCAAAAGTGGCAGACTAAAACCCAATGCTGATACCAAATGAGAGACTCCCTCCTGGGCACACAGAAAACTGGGCAACTTGGAAGGCACTGAACAGACTGCGCTCTGGCACCATGAGATGCAGAGCCAATCTTAAGAAATGGGGCCATAAAGTGGAGTCCACAACATGCGAGTGTGGAGAAGAGCAAACCACAGACCACCTATTACAATGCATCCTGAGCCCTGCCACATGCACAAGGGAGAACCTTCTTATAGCAACTGCAGAGGTACTCCAAATGGCCCGCTTCTGGTCAAAGGACATTCAGCATAATGCCAAGTTTTTAAAAACTTTATTTGTGTTTTTAAATGAATGTTAACTGTACCCTCAACTCACTTCTGACATGATAAATAAATAAACTTGATTGACTCCAGAAACAATAAGGCAGGGATCCTGAAACTAAGGCCCATGGGCCAAATGTGGCCCTACAAGGTAATTCTAAACTTTAAATTTTGGGCGACTCTGTGTCTGAAACTACTTGAAGGCACAACAATTCTAATTAACTTGACCCTCTCATCAGCCAAAAGAAGGCCCACACTTCTCACTGAAAGACTGTTAAGGTTATGTTGGCTAAAATTGCTCATTTTAAATACTGTATTGTTCTTTCATGGTTTTTTTTTGTTTTGTTTTTTGCATTACAAATAAAATCTGTGCAGTGTCCATAGGAATTTGTTCTTTTTTTTTTTCAAACTATAGTCCAGGCCCCCAACAGTCTGAGAACCCATGAACCAGCCCTTGGCTTAAAAAGTTTGAAGACCCTGGTAATAGGGTGTCAATTTTGTGTGAGTTGCCACACAACCCACTTCTGGCCTCGTGGCATCCACAGTTTCCCTGCATCTTCTTTGTACGGCACTTTCCCCCTTTCCTTTTAAACAACAAAACATATTTTTATTCAGAAGTCCACAATATTTCGGAGAGATTCATTCGCCCAAGTGGAAGAACAAGTGTATAGACCTCTAAGCAAGACAGCACCAAAGGGACTCTTCTGTTGGCACAGTTCAAGCCACGCAGGGCTATCCATTACTTTGGCCACCATGCTTTGAGAAGGTGGCTTTAAGAGATATCTTGTGAGGAAGCCAGCCCTTGGATTGAGACCCATTTGGCTCAGAGTTCGCTTCATCCTCCTTCCGGAAACCCGCCAGACTCGCTGCAAACGTTAACTTCCAGCAGACCTTCCGAGCCAATGAGCTCAAACTAATTCCTCTTTCCACACCGTTCATTTACCGAAGGAGATTTGTTGCCCTGCTATAAATATTTGTCCTCGGTGCTTCAGAAATTCCAAGAGGCAGGATTAAATTAATGCCACTCTTTCTCTCCATAATACAACACAGCTTTCTGGGTTGACTCTCCCAGTTGAACCCATTTCCAGGCCATCTCAAAATGCAGTTTTGGGTCGAGAGAGGCCAGCTGGCCACCCCGGAAGTGGCTAAGACTCTAATTCTGGGTCTGTATATGAAAAGTTTCTAAATTCCTCTTGGTTGATCATAGACAGAATTCCTTCTTCGATTGGGGTTAAGATGGGCTCTTCTTTTAAAAACTCGGGATCAAAGTTGCTCACGTCTTCTTTGGATTTCTGCCAAATAGAAATAGGAGATATATTAGGCTCCTCTAATTATTAGTTTTGTTCTCTAAATATTGCCCAGAGGGAAAGTCACATACAGCCCAAGTTTTTTTTAAAAAAAACTTTTATTTTTAATTTTCCAGAAATTGAGTTAGAAAGGGCATTTGAGGTGATGTTTTTGTTATGTAATTGTCTTTCTCTATTCATTTAATTTTACCCAAAGTCTACACATTGTCACCTCCCACTTAGTGCGCCCGTACCTTGGGAAGTCTGACTTGGCCACGGTGGTCCACGCTCTGGTTACATCCCGTATAGACTACTGCAACGCTCTCTATGTGGGGTTGCCTTTGAAGACTGCTCAGAAGCTTCAAATGGTCCAGCGCTCGGCAGCCAGGATGCTAACAGGAGCAGCACTCAGGGAGCATACAACTCCTCTGTTGCGCCAGCTCCACTGGCTGCCAGTTTGCTACCGGGCACAATTCAAAGTGCTGGCGTTAGCCTATAAAGCCCTAAACGGTTCTGGCCCAACTTACCCATCTCCTCCTATGAACCAGCCAGACATTAAGATCATCCGGGGAGGCCCTGCTCTCGGTCCCGCCTGCATCACAGGCATGCCTGGCGGGGACGAGAGACAGGGCTTTCTCAGTGGTGGCCCCTCAGCTGTGGAACGTCCTTCCTACAGATATTAGATTGGCCCCCTCCCTACTGGCATTTCGGAGGAAAGTGAAGACCTGGTCGTTCGAGCAGGCATTTGATTAGGCAGTGTAATGAATATAAGAACACGGAATAACAGATGATGAGTCTGGATTTTGATTCTACTGATATGACGCTAATGATTTGTTATATTGATGCTTAATTGTTTATTATGCTACTATTTTAACTGTCCCTTAATTGTTTTTATGATGTTTAGCATTGAATTTTTGCTGTTGTTAACCGCTTTGAGTCGCCTAATGGCTGAGAAAAGCGGTATATAAATGAAGTAAGTAAATAAATAAATAATGGTGCACTGGAATTGGGGTTTGCGGAGTTGAAGACCCACAAAGGTTTGGTAAACAATGACTTTTATCTCATCTGTCAACTCAGTTTAACCTGCAACGGGTTAAATCCTTGTGCAGGCAAGACTGCTGACCGAAAGAATTGTACATTGCTGTTGGACTTGAACTTGTTTAACCTGTTCCTTTTCCATTTCTTTCTAACTTAGTTTTCCATCTGTGTGACAATTAATATTAATCACTTTGCAGGGATCTGAGGCTGGACAATGTGCTTCTGGACCATGAGGGCCACTGCAAGCTGGTAGACTTTGTGGGATGTACAAAGAAGGCATCCATGATGGAATCACCGAAAGGTCAGCAATTTGAATCCGGGGAATGGGTTGAGCTCCTATCTGTCAGCTCCAGCTTCCCTTGTGGGGACATGAGATAAACCTCCCACAGGATGGTAACACATCAGGGCGTCCCTTGGGCAACATCTCTGCAGATGGCCAATTCTCTCACACCAGAAGCGACTAGCAGTCAAGTCACTCCTGACATTAAAAAAATCTGCCACCTCCACCTTCTTAGACTGTTCTTTCTAAGGCGAATCTACATTGCAACATAATGCAGTTTGAAACACATCTGGGGCAAGGCTCTTCACATTTGAGAGCTTCTTTAAAGTTCAGGCTAAAATGCAAGTTGATTTACCTCCCCAGTTTGGAGTTGATAGCCTTTGACTGCTATATATACAAAATCCAGTCAAAGTGGAGTGAAAAACCCAGATTCCCACCTCAATGATGTTGATGCCACCATCTGATTATTTACTATTTTGTGAACAGATACTCTCTAATCCAACCTATATATGTCTGAGATACATTCCTAACTACTCACAATTCGAGGCCGGAAAGGGGGTTCGATCTGCCGCTGGTTCAGCAAGTCCCAATCCAGTTCATTAAAATACGGGTGCAAGAGAATAGCTCTCTCCCCACCAAGGGAACTGCTGCCTAGGCGCATTTTGGGGTTCTTGGTCATAAACTGGAAGAAAAAAAAGCAGTAGGGATTAGCTGGAAAGAAAGAAATTGTCTCCATCATAAGCAAGCGGGCATTTAGCGTTATTCTAACATTTAGCACACTTCTCCTACAAGACATAAATCATATAAAATCTCAAGGAGAAGAAACTCACTGAATCCACTGACTTATGGCATTCCAGTGGATGAATCATTGAATCATAGAATTCTAGATTTGGAAGAGGACTCATGGCCATCTAGGCCAACCCCTGCCAGGAAGCAGGAAAATTGCATTCAAAGCATGCCCAACAGATGGCCATCCAGCCACTACTAAAAAACCTCCAAAAAAGGAGCCTCCACCACACTCCAAGGCAGAGAGTTCCACTGCTGAATGGCTCTCACTGTTAGGGAGTCCTTCCTAACATTCAGGTGGAATCTCCTTTCTTTCCTGCAGTTTGAAGCCATTGTTCCGCATACTAACTAAACCCTGGGTTGCTTCTGGAGTGGATGTGGCTCTCAATGAGACATGCCGCATTATCATGGGGTGTATGTGCCCTACACCACTGGAGAAATTACACTGTCTAGCTGGTATTGCACCACCTGACATCCGCCATGAAGTAGCGGCCAATAGTGAACGGACCAAGGCAGTGACATCTCCAGCTCATCCCTTGTTTGGGTATCAGCCAGCACGTCAACAACTTAAATCAAGAAATAGTTTTCTAAGATCTACAGAGACACTCGCTGGAACACCCCAGCAAGCGAGAGTCCAAAAGTGGCAGGCTCAAACCCAGAACCTCAATCAATGGCTGATACCAAATGAGAGACTCCCTGGGCACACAGAAGACTGGGCGACTTGGAAGGCGCTGAACAGACTGCACTCTGGCACCACGAGATGCAGAGCCAACCTTAAGAAATGGGGCTACAAAGTGGAATCCATGACATGCGAGTGTGGAGAAGAGCAAACCACAAACCACCTGCTGCAATGCAACCTGAGCCCTGCGACATGCACAATGGAGGACCTTCTTGCGGCAACACCAGAGGCACTCCAAGTGGCCAGATACTGGTCAAAGGACATTTAATCAACTACCAAGCTTGCAAACTTTGTGTTTTTGTCTGTTTGTTTGTTTTGTTAAAAATGTAATACAAATATCTGCTTGCTCCTGACATGATAAATAATAAAATACTAAACCCTGGGGTATACTCCCAACTTCAAATGCTGCTAAATCTGTTAGTCCCAATATTGTTGTTGTTGAGAAAACACTTTTTGAGAAAGGTTTAATGAGAAAGGCACATTTTATCCATCTTACTGAATTTTATTGCCTTTGAAACATTTCAGTTTTTTGCTCTTTGACACTCTTCGATTATTTCTGATTTTCTTTCATTTCTACACCATGCTGTCTTAATACTGTACTTCACTGGAATTAAATCATTGCAAGTCTTACTGAATTAGAGTGAAAGTCTTTCTTTAAAACTCTTGGGCTATTAAAATCCTCCCAAGTGTGGCTCTTCACACTGGAACACGTACAGAACATCTATCTTTCGGACACGGAGTGTGGTGGAGGCTCCTTCTTTGGAAGCTTTTAAACAGAGGCTGGATGGCCATCTGTCAGGAGTGCTTTGAATGCAATATTCCTGCTTCTTGGCAGAATGGGGTTGGACTGGATGGCCCATGAGGTCTCTTCCAACTCTTTGATTCTATGATTCTAGGGGAAATCCACATCTCCTGACCGTTAGTGGGTAAGAGGTTATAAGGGTGTGATAGCTTGAGAGCATTGCCATGCCAATATTTAATGCCCTAGCAAATGTCATATATGTCGTAGAATATTCAGATCACATGCTTGTATGCCAAAGCTCACATTATATGTCAAAAGCAATTAGGTAATGAGCAAGACTGTGCTCGTTCCTTACACTTCCTGGATGAGTCAGAACAGGTAATATAGAGTAGGTAGCTTTCACTTTTGTTGTTTCTAGCATTAGGATTCTAAAGGCATCTTTGAGTTGGTTGGGAAAGTGTTTATCAAACTCTTAGAGGCCAACTGGATTGCAGGTAGATCTTATGTTTTCTCTTGCCCTGTTTGGTTGCATGCAAAATAATTCATCTATTGCCCAGCTATTTAAAATGTGTGGTGAAAGCAGCAAAGTACTTGGGAAGAAATACCAATCTACTCAAATGGTAACTCGAAGCTGCCTACAAATGTGGAAAATGAAATTTGTAATGGCCAGGGGCGGCTTGTCCATTACGCGAAGTAAGCGGTCGCAGAACACTTTTTTTTGCCAGGGGCGCAGAGGCGCCTCTGTAAATGCCCCTTGACTGCCACTTGAGGAGCGCCCCCTCAGCTCACAACAGCCCTAGCAGTCTGGGGGGAGCCTCGGCTTTCTTGCCTCGCTGCCGGGTGATCCTCTTCCCAAAGGGGCCGGGCCCTTGAGCCTCGCCTAGCCCCTCTCGTTCCTGCTCACCCAGCCACCGGGTGCGCAAGCAGAGCCGGCGCTCAATCGTTCTCTGCGTTCGATCCCTTCCCCATGACCGGCTCCCTTTCCCGATCCCCCGGCGCTCCACCCGCCTCCTCTCCTCTCCCCAATCCGCAGGTGGGCCAAGGGGCGGAGCCGCCACGCCTGGCCCACTTCGGGTCCGGAGGCGTGTCTGAAGACCCCAGCGTGCGCACCAAAAGTCGCCTCTTCTCCTGACTTTCTCTTCAGCCATTGGGACCAAGAGAGAGAGAGAGAGAGAGAGAGAGAGCCCCTCCGGCTGGAGGTATCTCCCACCTCCGCTCCCTCCTTTGTTTTTGCGCCTACCTTCAGGAAAGGTGGGCATCTCCACCTCTCTCTCTCTCTCTCTCTTGGTCCCAATGGCTGAGGAGAAAGTCAGGAGAAGAGGTGACTTTTGGTGCACACGCCGGGGTCTTCAGGCACGCCTCCGGACCCAAAGTGGGCCAGGCAAGGGAGCAAATGCGGCAAGTGTAGTTACTGGGATGTATAGTTCACCTACAATCAAAGAGCATTCTGAACTCCACCAATGATGGAATTGAACCAAATATGGCACACAGAACTCCCACGACAAACAGAAAATATATATCAATGATTGGTTGGGGGGGGGGGTGCCAAAATACTGTTTGCTTACCGTTGAAAATTACCTAGGGCCGCCTCTGAGTAATGGCCCAAAAATTGGAAATGCTCAATGTAAATCTCAATCCCTATGCAAGGGAACATCAGAGATGGCAGTAAACACCAGGCTATTGCATTAATCTGCCATGCAAAGTGATGCTCAAAATTGTACAGTGAAGATTTTCACCATATATGAACTGAGAAACGCTAAACATTCCAGCTGGGTTCAGAAAAGGAGCAGACATTAGTGATCATATGGCAAACATATGCTGAATAACAGAGTGCATTAAAGAATTAGAGGTGCAAACCACCCTCTACTTTACATATGGGCCAGCTTTAGCACAGCAAGTTAATCACCAGCTGCAGCTGCAGTAAATCATTCCAACTGAAAGGTTAACAGTTTGAAGTTGGGTCAGGGTGAGCTCCTGACCTTCAGCCCAGCTCCCCGCCCACCTAGCGGATTGAAAACAGCAAGATGAGTAAATGAATAGGAATTGCATTAAGCGAGGAGGTATTTTAAGCACAGCGTTTGGAGGAAAGTTAACGAACAAAGAAAGTTCTTCAGGAAGGAGATGGAGTGACAGCACCCCCCCTGTGGCAGGAACCGAGCACAGCCTCCAAAGATGCCGAATGATGAAAAAAAGCCTAAATATATCTCTATGTGTTTTCTGTCTTGTCACTGTATAATCAGCATTGAAGGTTTGCCGTATATGTGTTCTGTGATCTGCCCTGAGTCCTCTTTGGGGTGAGAAGGGTAGAATATAAGTACTGTAAATAAATAAATAATAAATACATTTTCTGCAGAGAAGAAATGTCTGCCTCATTTCCAAAGGAGTTGTTTTTACTTTTTAATATGGTGCATCTGCACAATAAAATTACTGCAGTTTGACATCACTTTAACTGTCATGGCTCAAGGAATCATGGGAGATGTAGTTTTATAAGAGCTTTAGCCTTCCTTGCCAAGTAGTGGTGGTGCCTCATGAAACTACAATTTCCCAGGATTCCACAGAACTGACCCATGGCATTTCAAGTAGCATCAAAGTACAGTAATTTTACAGTGAAGATATACTCTTAAACTTACTAAACTGGTGTTTAAATCAGTTGCCTCCAAGCTCAGCATGAAGCATAGGAGCCCCCAGTGGCCAGCAGGACTGCTGACTGAAAGGCCAGCAGTTCAAATCCAGGGAGCGGGGTGAGCTCCCGTCTGTCAGATGCAGCTTCTCAAGTGGGGACATGAGAGAAGCCTCCCACTGGATGGTAAAACATCTGGCCGTCCCCAGAGATAATTTTGTATCAGGAGCGACTTGAGAACTGCAAGTCGCTTCTGGTGTGAGAGAATTGCAAGGACATTGCCCAGGGGATGCCCAGATGTTTTGATGTTTTACCATCCTTGTGGGAGGCTTTTCTCATGTCCCTGCATGGGAAGCTGGAGCTGACAGAGGGAGCTCATCAGTGCTCTCCCCGGATTGGAACCTCCGATCTGTCAGTCTTCAGTCCTGTTTAACCCATTGTGCTACTGGGAGCTCCACAGTACGAATAACTAACACCTATTCTGTGAAATTCTCCTCTTTCCTAAATTGTGAGCAAATATGAGTAGGAATTAATCCCATCTGTTTGTCTGTAGTAATGCTCTTTTAGTTTTTCTTTCCCCAGCAGACAGGTTTTCCAGTCATATGGAAATATTGTTTGTCTTGGGAAAACCAACCCAAACTTGTTAATTGAGAACAGTGGAGAAGAAATATGGGTAGATTTCCTGTCCAGGACCCAAAAGGGATTGCCTTTCTTTGCAAACTGGTCCCTTCGTATCTACAGGTCACTGCTGTTTTCCTGACAAAGCCGTTCTCTCAAAAAATGTCTCAGGAAGAGAACTGACCTATGGAGACCTTCCATCCAAAGCAGGATCTTGGGAAAGTAATATGGCTCCTAAAAGGAAATGGCTAAGTTGCCCAAGAGGAAACGGCTTCGTTCTCGGAACGATTTTGAAAGAGAAGGAGTCTGAGAACTGCAGATGCAGCCTTTCCTGTTTTGTTTTCTTGATACCAGAGAGACGACGTGGATGCAGACTCCAAATGTCATAAAAACAGTCATTGCCTGAAGTGATTCGAAAAATGGCTTGGCTGAATTTCAAATCCTGATATTTCCTCTCCTTCCAATTTGACCTCGATAAAACTCTAATGCCAGGGCTGCCACTGAGAAAGATGGCTGTGTGGCGTGATGGGAGAAACCTGGATGCAAAACTCCGTCCAGCCATCAAACACATTGTGCAACCTTGGATTAGTCACAACAGAGATGTTGTAAACACAAAATAGGGGGAAAGATAGCCATGTTTCCCCTGCACTTCTACCTATCTCACCTATGGGTTTTATTAATTTCCACCCATTTTTAGTCAAGGGTCTTGGTCTCTTTGTCTAATTCTGTTACCATTTTATCATTTGTTTTTATTATGATTTTGTTATTTTTATTTTACTACTAGCTTGGGGACCCGGCGCTGCCCGGGTTATTTGAGAAGGCATTGTTTGTTTTGTGAAGTTTGGTAATATCAGTTTGGCAATGTGTAATGCTATTTATTAGAAAAACAAACAGCCTTTCTTTTTGTTTTTTAATTAATGCTCCCATTAGAAAATGCATAAGGATGTGGGTGAACTACAATTTCCAGAATTGTGGGTCAGTCATTCCCAAACCCTGCCATTACTTAAAGTTGGCCATGTTGGACCTGTGTGCCAAGTTTGGTCCAGATCCGACAGCAGCTGAGTTTAGTGATATCTAGGTAATGGTGAACTACAACTCCCAGATTCCCAAGGCAATCACCCCCAAGCTCAGCCAGTATGCACAATTGGCCATGTTGGTTCTTTGTGCCAAGTTTAGTCCCGATCCATCGTTGGCTGAGTTCACTGTTCTCTAGATAAGGGTGAACTACAACTCTCAGGGTAATCACCCCTAAACTCTGCAAGTATGGACAATTGCCCATAGTGGGTCTGTGTGCCAAATGAGTTCCAGTTCAGAGTGCTCTTAGATTGCAGGTGAACTATGCATCCCAGTCCCTACAACTCCTATAAATCATTGTGAATTCTCTCCAAACCTCTCCAGTATGCTCAGTTGCTGATCAATCCCTCTGCTGTGTGCCAAAGGAAAGGGTTGGAATGGGATATGGAGAAGCAGTGGGTGGGGTCATGCAAATGAAGAGAGAAAGGAACACTGGGATGTGCTTGCTATAACCTGCAATGTCCTTTGAGAGAGTGACTTGCTGTCTTCTCAAAACTGGAAACAATAGCCTATTTGTGGAGGCTGTCTGTGTGAACAGACACCTGTGCCACATACAGATTTTCACTTTTATTATGTGTATAGATAGATGTTATTATTAAGTATTTTATTTGATGTTGTTGTCTTGTTTATATGTATTTTTGCTCCATTGTAATATTTTTAGGCATGGCCTCATGTTAACTGCCCCAAGTCCCTTCAAGGAGATGGTGGCAGGGTATAAATAAATATTATTATTTGAAACACAACAAGATGAGTTCACAGCAAACAAGATAACTCTGCTGGCTGTTGTATTGGATCACACGTCGGACCCTTCCCAAGTGTCTAGGACTGTGAGATGTATTCGGGAATAATGCGTGCAGATCCCAGTAAGGTGGTCTTTTGCAGCTGGCAGATGGTAATCTTGTCAGCACAGATTGTGTTTAAGTGCAGGCCAAGGTCTTTAGGCACTGCACCCAGTGTGCCAATCACCACTGGGACCACCCTTACTGGTTTGTACCAGAGTCTTTGCAGTTCGATCTTTAAATCCTCATATCGTGTCAGCTTTTCCACTTGTTTCTCTTCAATGTTCTATTATTGGGATTGCAACATCGACAATCCATACTTTGTGTTTTAGCACAATAGTGAGGTCAGGAGTATTGTGCTTCAAAACTCTTGTCAGTCTGAATTCGGAAGTCCCAGAGTAGTTTGATGTGTTCATTTTCTGTAACTTTTTCAGGCTTGTGATCCCACCAGTTCTTTGTCGCAGGCAGATGGTATTTATTATTATTATGGGTTGTTGTAGGTTTTTCCGGGCTATATGGCCATGTTCTGGAGGCAATTTTTCTCCTGACGTTTCACCTGCATCTATGGCAAGCATCCTCAGAGGGAGTGAGGTCTGTTGGAAGTAGGAAAAATGGGTTTATATATCTGTGGAATGACCAGGGTAATGTTTCAGCTGATCACCTTGATTTGCATTCAATGGCCTGGAAGCGCCTGGGGGGAATCTCTTGTTGAGAGTGAATTGATGTGCCTGATTGTTTACTCTCTGTTGTTTTGCTGTTGTAATTTTTGAGTTTTTTTAATACTGGTAGCCAGATTTTGTTCATCTTCATGGTCTCCTCCTTTCTGTTGAAATTGTCCACATGCTTGTGGGTTTCAATGGCTTCTCTGTGTAGTCTGATGACAATACATTATTATTATTATTATTATTATTATTATTATTATTATTATTATTATATACATACAGCTTTCAGGATGGCCACTGCATCTCCGTGGAGCCAAGTAGGGTAGACAATTTCATCATTGAGGATGGCCTCGAAGAGGTCGTCTTCGTTTTCGGCTTCAAAAGGGGCATGGCCACAAAGCATTTCATAGAGAAGGACTCCCATTGCCCACCAGTCAACATCAGGACCGTATAGCATCTCCTGCAAAATCTGCAATGAAAGGAAGGGAGCAAATCAGAATGCAACACTGCTGAGATACTGGGATGTCTATGCAAAAAAGAGGGATATATTTAAGAGAAATCCTCAAAGAGTGCTATAGAGTCACTGTGCAGGCTGATCTCTCTTGTAGAGGTAGAAAATACATCTGGCTATTTGCATGTAGCTGACTCCTGTAAGGCACAACATGCTCAAAAAAGTGCCCTGTGAGCATACAATTTCCAAACTGTGTACAGGATGAGATCAAGAAGGAATAGGAAAGTGACTTTATTGGACTGCAACCTCCAGAATCCATAACCAAACATTGCTCTGAATATATGCATGGTCATTATAAGCAGGTAAGTTACTATTTGGGAGCAATATCCTCCAACTACCCCAATGAAAAAGGCTTGGAGATCTGGGAGGCTCTTAAGAATTGTGGCCCTCAAAATGTAATGCTCTGTTTACAGATTTGTAACAACTATATGTGCAATATATAAATGTATATATGAGCAATATGTAAATGTATATAACTATATGAGCATATATATATGGGCAATATGTAAACATATATAACTATATGAGCATATACATATATGAGCAATATGTAAACATATATAACTATATGAGCAATATGCAAAGCTGGGTATGTATCCCCTAAAGATAGAGGAGCCTTGCTGTATTTTGCTGGTAGGAAATATGGGTGTCTTAAAAAATTACTGTGAAAAAACTGGTACAATCACTTCCGTACCTCTGGAGCAATATAATCAGGCGTTCCACAAAAGGTTGCGGTGGTGATTCCATCATGGATGCCTTCTTTGCACATCCCAAAATCGGCCAGCTTGCAGTGGCCCTCATGGTCCAGAAGCACATTGTCCAGCTTCAGATCCCTGCAAAGGCAAGAGTCAACTATTATGTTACTTGGGTTAGGGTCATCAACAGTGACTGGAGCTTCACTGCCAAATAATGCCATTTGAACTGCATCATACAGGCCCCATTTACATTACCATATTGAAGTCTAGATTCATATAATGCAATTTAACTGCTGCATTATCACGGGGTGTCTGCGCCCTACACCACAGGAGAAATTATATTGTGTAGTCAGTATTGCACCACCTGACATCCGCCGGGAAGTAGCAACCAATAGTGAAAGGACCAAGGCAGTGACATCTCCAGCTCATCCCGTTTGGGTATCAGCCAGCACGTCAACGCCTTAAATCAGGAAATAGTTTTCTGAGATCTACAGACACTCGCTGGAACACCTCAGCAAGCAAGAGTCCAAAAGTGGCAGGCTCAAACCCAGAACCTCAATCAATGCTAATACCAAATGAGAGACTTGGAAGGCACTGAACAGACTACGCTCTGGCACCACCAGATGCAGAGCCAATCTTAAGAAATGGGGCCATAAAGTGGAGTCCACGACATGTGAGTGTGGAGGAGAGCAAACCACAGACCACCTACTACAATGCAACCTGAGCCCTGCCACATGCACAATGGAGGACCTTCTTATAGCAACACCAGAGGCACTCCAAGTGGCCAGCTTCTGGTCAAAGGACATTTAGCATAATGGCAAGTTTCCAAACTTTGCATTTTGTTTTTTAAATACAATACAACTGTTTGGTTCTCTCCTGATACAATAAATAAATAATAAAATAAAACTGCATTGAAATATGTTATATTAATCTACAATTACCATATGATGAAGTTTCAAACTGCATTACGTGGCAGCGTAGATGGGGCCACTGAAGTAGTGCCTAATAATGCAGTATACAATGCATACAACTGCATTATATGTCAGTGTAGATGGAGCCAAGGCAGTGTAGACCCACATAATGCAGTTCAGTGCAGTTTGATAACGCATTGAACTGCATTACATGGGTCTACACTGCCATGGCCCCATCTACACTGTCATATAATGCAGTTTGAACTGCATGAGTCTATGTAAAATATTGTGTGGCCAATGGCATTATTCATAGCGTCAGAAGTGCATTCATTTGGTTACTCTTCCTCCATGGTGATATCTGCCATTCTGTGGCAGCAATGCCTCTGCCTTTTTGGACAAATAGGGAAGTCTCTATGCAAACAGGGAAGTTGCCATGCACAGACCCAAATGTGACATTAGAAATGACAATACCCCCAAACCAGTTAGAGAACACTTCAGACTTCCTGGACATATGTTAAGGAAGTTGCGGTCCTTGAATAAGGAAATTACAAAGCAAGGCTACAAAGCGAAACAGCTGAATTGAACTATATTAAAAAATTCCAACCCATTAATGGCTTCTTGGTGCACCAAATGTATTAATACACGAGTCCTACTACTGCGCATTTAATGAAGAGGAAGATTCTCAGCTAGAGTTTCAAACCCAGGGAAAATTACTTTTGGAAGGCAGATATATTATTGTCAGACATCAGCACTAACTGATTGCTGTAAAGATCTGAAAAACTTATATTGTCACATCCAGACATTTGAAAAATTAGAACATGAGTCAAGATCTGCATTTTTGAGATTCTTCATCTTGCATCCTACTGCCATAATTAGTTGAATATACTTTATACCAGAGACTTTACTACCTACTTGGTAACCAAAGTGCTTTTCCAGCAGTCACCAGCCAATCCCTCTCCAATGCCAGAAATACAGCTTAATGGTGTAACATTAGAAAATGTTGACCATTTCCACTCCCCTGGCAGCCACCTCTTCACAAAATTCAACATTGACACTGAAATACAATAACACATGAGCTCTGCAAGTGAAGCATTCTTCCAAATGAAGCAGAGAGTGTTTAAGGACCGGGACATCCGTAGAGACACCAATGTGCTTGTTTATAAAGCTATTGTCCTACCAACCCTGCTATATGCCTGTGAAACACTGACTGTATATAGACGTCACAATCAACTGATGGAACAATTCTATCAGCATTGCCTCCGAAAAATTCTGCAAATATTTTGGGAAGACAGGTGCTGGAAGAAGCGTGCTGGAAGAAGCAAAGACCACCAGCATTGAAGTGATGCTCCTATGCCATCAACTCTGCCGGACTGGCCATGTTGTCCATATGCCCAATCACCATCTCCCAAAGCAATTATGATATTCCAAACTCAAGAATGGAAAATGCAATGTCGATGGACAGGAAAAGAGATTTAAAGCTGGGCTTAAAGCCACTGAGAACTGGGAAGCCCTGGCCCTTGAGTGCTCTACCTGGAGGTCAGCTGTGACCAGCAGTGCTGCGGAATTCAAAGAGGCACGGAAGGAGGGTGAAAGGGAGAAATGTGCCAAGAGGAAGGCACATCAAGCCAACCCTGACTGGGACCACCTTCCATCTGGAAACTGATGTCCTCATTGTGGGAGAACATGCGGATCAAGAATAGAGCTCCATAGCTACCTATGGACCCACTTTTTTTTTGTCGTGTCAGGAGCAACCACTCCTGTTGTGAGAGAATTGGCCATCTGCAAGGACGTTGCCCAGGGGATGCCTGGATGATTTTTGATGTTTTATCATCCTTGTGGGAGGCTTCTCTCATGTCCCCGCATGAGGAGCTGGAGCTAATAGAGTAAGTAAATAAATACAACCTTTTGTGCATCCAAAGAAGCTGCTTTATATTGGCGCAATTTCATTCCAAAATGAAAACCAATTATTATTAAAAGCGAGTGCTTGTCTCTCACACTATCAAGTTATTCCTGAAATACAACCTTGCTGAAATCTCTTTAACAATGTTGTTGTTCATTCGTTCAGTCGTCTCCGACTCTTCGTGACCTCATGGACCAGCCCACGCCAGAGCTCCCTGTCGGCCGTTACCACCCCCAGCTCCCTCATGGTCAGTCCAGTCACTTCAAGGATGCCATCCATCCATCTTGCCCTTGGTCGGCCCCTCTTCCTTTTGCCTTCCACTTTCCCCAGCATAATTGTCTTCTCTAGGCTTTCCTGTCTCCTCATGATGTGGCCAAAGTACTTCAACTTTGTCTCTAGTATCCTTCCCTCCAATGAGCAGTCGGGCTTTATTTCCTGGAGGATGGACTGGTTGGATCTTCTCACAGTCCAAGGCACTCTCAGCACTTTCCTCCAACACCACAGTTCAAAAGCATCGATCTTCCTTCGCTCAGCCTTCCCTAAGGTCCAGCTCTCACATCCGTAGGTGACTACAGGGAATACCATGGCTTTGACTAGGCGGATCTTTGTTGCCAGTCTGATGTCTCTACTCTTTACTATTTTATCGAGACTGGACATTGCTCTCCTCCCAAGAAGTAAGCGTCTTCTGATTTCCTGGCCACAGTCTGCATCTGCAGTAATCTTTGCACCTAGAAATACAAAGTCTGTCACGGCCTCCACGGTTTCTCCTTCTATTTTCCAGTTGTCAATCATTCTTGTTGCCATAATCTTGGTTTTTTTGACGTTTAGCTGCAACCCGGCTTTTGCGCTTTCTTCTTTCACCTTGATTAGAAGGCTCCTCAGCTCCTCCTCGCTTTCGGCCATCCGAGTGGTGTCATCTGCATATCTGAGGTTGTTAATGTTTCTTCCAGCAATTTTCACCCCAGCTTTGCATTCATCAAGCCCCGCACATCGCATGATGTGTTCTGCATACAAGTTAAAAAGGTTGGGTGAGAGTATGCAGCCTTGCCGTATGCCTTTCCCAATCTTGAACCAGTCTGTTGTTCCGTGGTCAGTTCTGACTGTTGCTACTTGGTCCTTGTACAGATTCCTCAGGAGAGAGACAAGGTGGCTTGGTATGCCCATCCACCAAGAACTTGCCACAATTTATTATGATCCACACAGTCAAAGGCTTTAGAATAGTCAAGAAAACATAAATAGATGTTTTTCTGAAACTCCCTGCCTTTCTCCATTATCCAGCGGATATTGGCAATCTGGTCTCTCGTTCCTCTGCCTTTTCTAAACCCAGCTTGAACATCTGGCAACTCTCGCTCCATGTATTGCTGGAGTCTGCCTTGCAGGATCTTGAGCATTACCTTACTGGCATGAGAAATAAGGGCCACTGTACGGAAGTTTGAGCAGTCTTTCGCATTTCCCTTTTTTGGTATGGGGATATAAGTTGATTTTTTCCAGTCTGATGGCCATTCTTGTGTTTTCCATATTTGCTGGCAAAAGGCATGCATCACCTTGACAGCATCATCTTTTAAGATTTTAAACAGTTCAGCTGGGATCCCGTCGTCTCCTGCTGCCTTGTTGTTAGCAATGCTTCTTAAGGCCCATTCAACCTCACTCCTCAGGATGTCTGGTTCTAATTCATTCACCACACCGTCAAAACTATCCTCAATATTATTATCCTTCCTATACAGATCTTCTGTATAGTCTCGCCACCTTCTCTTGATTCTTCAGCTTCTGTTAGGTCCCTGCCATCTTTGTTTCTTATCATACCAATTTTTGCCTGAAATTTACCTCCAATGTTTCTAATTTTCTGGAAGAGGTCTCTTGTCCTTCCTATTTTGTTGTCTTCTTCCACTTCCATGCATTGCTTATTTAAAAATAGTTCCTTATCTCTTCTGGCTAACCTCTGGAATTGTGCATTTAACTGGGCATATCTCCCCTTATCCCTGTTTCCTTTTGCTTTCCTCCTTTCTTGGGCTACTTCCAGTGTCTCAGCAGACAACCATTTTGCCTTCTTGGTTTTCTTTTTCTTTGGGACGTACTTTGTTGCCGCCTCCTAAACAATGTCGCGGACTTCTGTCCATAGTTCTTCTGGGACTCTGTTTACTAAATCTAGTCCTTCAAATCTGTTCTTCACTTCCACTGTATATTCGCTAGGAATGTTAGTGAGATCATATCTAACTGGTCTGTGTATTTTCCCTGATCTCTTTAGTTTTATTCTAAATTGTGCAATAAGAAGTTCGTGATCTGAGCGACAGTCAGCCCCAGGTCTTGTTTTCACCGACTGGATGGAT